CTCCCCCAAGATTCACATCATGTCTCTACTTAAACGTCACCTTCGGCTGGGCACAGTGGCTCACACTTGTAACCTTGACACTCTAGGAGACCGAGGCAGGAGGATTGCTTGAGGTCAGGAGATCCAGACCAGCCTAAGTAAGAGTGAGACTCCCATTTCTACCAAGAATACAAAAATTAGCTGGGCATCGTCCAGCTCCTCAGGAAGCTGAGGCAGGAGGATTGCTTGAGCCCAGGAGTTTGAGGCTGCAGTGAGCTGCGATGATGCCATTGCACTCTACCCAGGGCGACAGAGTGAGTCTGTCAACAAGGACTACCCAGACCACCGATTTAAAACTGCAGCCTGTCCTAGTCTCTCACCAGTATTCCCTACTCTTTACCCTGTCCTTTTTCTTTTTGCCACAGTACTTACCACGTTCTAAAACAATATTTTATTTTTATGTGGCTTTTGTTTGTTTTGTCTTTCTTCCCCCTCTAGAATGCAAGCTCCACTAAAGCCAGGTTCTTTGGGGTTTTTCTCTTTTACATCTCAAGTGCCTAGAATGGTTTCTGGGACACAAAGGTGATCAATGAATGTTTGTTTAACAAATAAACGGATCTTAGAAGATACAAAGGAAGCTAAATAGTACTACACAGCATCCTCCAACTTCAGGCCAATAACCTCTCCTGGCAGGGAGGGACTAGAGTAGAAATCAATCATCCAGGCCATGGAGTAAGAGAGGATGGGGATTTCCAGGTCTTTCCTGTTTTCAGCTTTCTGGGACACATCTATCTGTCCTTAGCAATTACCAGCTCTTAGCATCAGTGAGTTGCTGGCATTCAGAATTTAACATAACTATGAAAATACCCAAGAATCCACTGTTCTTCACCCATAATTTACCAAGATCAATGAAGTCAGGGTCCTTAGAGTTGGGGGATTTTTTAGTAGAAAATGATACTGAAAGAATGAAAATGTTATTAGGCAGCAGGTGATAAGCACCAGATACCCAACCACCACCGAGCAGCTAAGTTCATCTACCTGATGATTAACACTGAGGAATGTAGGTCAGCTACTGGGTAAAATCCCAGAAGCCACTCAAACTTCCT